GGGCAGGGGCGGGGGGGGTTCGCTGCCGGCATGGCTCGCTACACCCCGCCCCTGCAGCATACCGTGGACACCTGTTCGCCGCCTCTGTGCGTGCCTGGGGAGTGGGGGTGCAGCACTCTGCAGGCTCCTGCCGGCCGGTGGGTGAGCACCGGGAGTTCAGCTGTGCTGCCCCAGGCCCACGAAGAAGAGGTCAGTGGCACTGGCAACACCGGCTTGCGTCCTCCACCAGACGGTCCCCCGATATCCGGACAAGGTGTGTCCCAACCGATGTAAGGTCGGGACGCGGGATAAGTCCCCTAAAATTAGGACTGTCCCGATAAAATCGGGACGTCTGGTCACCCTAACTCCAGGCTCCACCCCCTCCCTGCTCAGCTGCTATGACTCACCACATCCCTCCTCTCCTGCCCCCGTGAGGGTGAGGGTGAGGGTGGGGGTTGAGAAGGGATGTGGAAATGGGGGGAGGGGTCTCAAAGGGAAATAGGGGTGAGGAGGGATGCAGCAACTGGCAGGCAGGTCACCCAGGGATGGGGGTGTGAGGAGGGATGTGATGAGCAGGCGGGGGGGGGGTCTCATGGGGAGAGGGTGGGGGAAGGGAGGGGCAGGACACAGCAGTGGGGGGTTAAAGTCACCAGCTGCTCTATCCTAGCCCCAAAGAATGGTGGAAGACGTAGAATGGGAGGTTGTTTCTCCCCAGCCCAGGAAGACTCCTTCCCAACACAAGGCAAAGGGAGCAGTAGGTGGCAGCCCTGGAGGGAGAGCCTCTCCATAACACAGAAACCAGGAGAAACATCTAGGAAAGAGCCCCCCACAGCCAAAGGGAAAGGGATGTGACGTGTCTCTGAATTTAATATTTCATATATGTAGAAATATTCACCAGAACTCACATGGTCAGAGTTAAGGGTGTTTGAATGCTAGGCAGTGAGAAGGTTTCTGTTTACTAGTGTGTGTGTCCCAGAAATTGTTAGGTGCCACTGGACTGCTCTAAGGGAAAGCCTCGTATCTGACCCTCAGGATCCCCAGATAATTCAAGCTTCTGGGACCAGAAGAGGAATAGCTCCCTCTCCTGAGGCCTGGAACCCGCTACCTTATCCCTTGGTGCAGAACTGACTCTCCAGACTCCAACGTGCTTGAACACACCATCTCCCAGAGCTCCTTGCTAAGATGAGAGCCTTCTGGTTTTCAGCTGAACTCTCTTTGGAGGCACACAGTAGTTTTGAAGGATTTAACAGAGAGAGAGAGATGCTTTGCACAAGTCCAACACATTAGTGCTTTTTCACTTCACCATATTAAGCACAAGAGAGTTCAGATCACATAGCACAAAACAACCAACGTAACTGCAGTGCTCCTCACTATCTCACCCTTCCCTGGGGAGTCCTGGGGGCCATGTGGGATCAGGAAAAGTAGGCAGGGCTCCAGGCTTCATGAAGCTGCTACATGCTGGGTTACTTTGTTCTCTCCTTTTGAGTTGGAGACAAAGAGCGAGATCCATGAAGGGACCTAGATATTGTACCCCTGGGGGAATTTTGCATCAAAAAAATTCTGCACACAATATTTTAAAATTCTGCAAAATGCTGCATATTTTATATGTCAAAATAACTTTTAATAATTAATGGAGATATGCCATCTCCTAGAACTGGAAGGGACCTTGAAAGGTCATTGAGTCCAGCCCCCTGCCTTCACTAGCAGGACCAAGTACTGATTTTGCCCCAGATCCCCAAGTGGCCCCCTCAAGGATTGAACTCACAACCCTGGATTTAGCAGGCTAATGCTCAAACCACTGAGCTATCTCTCCCCAAAAATACCTATCAGCAACTATGTCTGTCAGAGACCAAAAAAAAAGAGAGAAAAAAGATTCTGGTAATTTTTTTCCACAAAAAAATCATGAAAGATTCATCTGTTCTGGTGCCACGGTGGACTCTGGTGGGTGAAAGGGGAAACTGCAGCACTTCTCGGGCAGAATGCATTTTCTGCAGAAGAAAAGAATTCTGCAGCCGGACATAGAATCATAGAACTGGAAGGGACCTCGAGATGTCATCTTGTCCAATCCCCTGCACTCATGGCAGGACCAAGCACCATCTAGACCATCCCTGACAGGTGTTTGTCTAACCTGCCCTTAAAGATATCCAGTGATGGAGATTCCACAACCTCCCTAGGCAATTTATTCCAGTGCTTAACTACCCTGACAGTTAGGAATTTTTTCCTAATGTCCAACCTAAATCTCCCTTGCTGCAGTTTAAGCCCATTGCTTCTTGTCCTATCATCAGAGATTAAGGAGAATAATGTTTCTCCCTCCTCCTTGTAACAACCTTTCAGGTACTTGAAGGCTGTTATCATGTCCCCTCTCAGTCTTATCTTCTCCAGACTACACAAACCGAGTTCTTTCAAATTTTCCTCATAGGTCATGTTTTCTAGACCTTTCATCATTTTTGTTGCTCTTCTCTGGCTTTCTCCAGTTTGTCCACATCCTTCCTGAAATGTGGCGCGTGGAGGTGGCAGGCGGGGCCGCGGGAGAGACCCGGCACCAAACATTGGGGAGCAGCGAGCAAGGATCTTAGCTGCCACATAAAATAACTCGGGGGGGGGGCCACGGGGAGCTTCGCGGGCCACAGGGAAGAGCTCCACGGGCCACATGGGGCCCATGGGCTGTGTGTTTGAGACCCCTTGACTAGATGATCATAATGGTCCCTTCTGACCTTAAAGTCTATGATTCTATGATTCAGTGTCAAAACCTAATGGACATGCTAAATCATTCCCATCCATCCCCAGCGTTCAGTGGGGCAGATCTCATGCATTTTCTGTCTGTATTATTGCTCATTCACACACAGCATCAATGTTCACCTCCCTCCTTGGGACTAGCTCTAGCCATGGAGAGAGCTCTGGGCTCCCCAGGTTTAGAAATAGGCAGGGGTTTAACTGTAGAGCTGTATGTTTGTCAGCAAGGCCTCCAGAGTGCACAGATCCTGCAAACTCCTAGTGAGGGTGTAACAATTTCCCCTACCTCCCCAGACATCTGCCTCCCCCAAGGGGGCTCAGCAACCCTGTTCCTGTCCTCTTGCTTTCCACATTCCCCCAGCACAGCACCGGGACATGGAATGCCCTTTGTGACAAACACTCTCTCAATCCTCCATGCACCCTGATCTGGTCTTATTTCACCCCCTGCGCAGGATTTCCCATTCCCAAACCTGAGCTGATTGCCCGACTGGAATGAAGGGAAGAGCTGTGGGTCCCAGATCTCCAGGCCTGCGAGGAAAGAGAGATCCTGAGAGGCACCCGCACAGGTGAGGATTGACACAGAAACCATTTGGTGAATGAAGGAAAAAGTTGAGAATCCCAAAAATGTGGTGTGAGTAACACACTCAGTTCTTCCTCATCTCAGCCAGGGCAGGGCCATAGTCAGCAGATATCGCTCACACCATTCTATGCACCCTGTTAGCTGCAGGAGTTTCCTCCTATCTTTCC